CTGTAGAGTTGCTTTTCATTGTTTTTCTTATTTATGTTGTTAATGAAGGGAGGATATCGATATCCAAAGTCTTATTTGTATGTGTTGCAGCAGTTTTGTAGATGATACGGTCCTCATAGAAACTGAAGAGCAGTTTACATCAATCACACTGATTAGTTAGGGTGTAATATTCCATAACATTTTTTTGTAGTTCTTCTTTGTCTGTCACACACGAGTAGCACTCAAGCTCTGCTTTAGTAGAAAATACAGGAACGTTGTGGTTGTTTGTGTCAACAGTTTGATTTTTGTTTAAAAAAAACATTGAACCAAGCAGGCTAATTTATTCACTATATTTTCTTTGATTCCTCAATCACACACTTTGTTCATTATGTATTTATACATATCATGAGAAAGTGCAATATGAACTCTAAGACTCTTCCGTGTCCTCCACTTCCAAACTTTGCAAATTTCAGAGGCTGTTTCAGAGAATCTGCAGGTGCATAAAAGATTTAAAAAGTAAACACATTTTACCAGTACAACAGTGATTATTCTGATTTTTATCTATGGTTTTAGTGTTTAAGTTCGTCTTCCAGGTTTTAAGTTGGACTTCTGGTCCAGTTAAGTATTAAAAAGATGTGAGGGCCTTTTTTATGAAACCTGCAGATGCTCCTTTTTAATCAGATTTCTCTTCACTTGATTAGTTTTGTGCTTCACTGTATGTGACCACTGACACACTGTTAAACCCAAAAAATTTTTTGCAAGTTCTCCTCTATTGACCAAACGAGCAGCAGTGTCTGAGTGAATGCAGCATGAAGTCTGAAATACACAAACATGGAGTCAAGAAAGTTCCACTGTTAGATCTAAAACAATGACATGAATATCATGAACCGATCTAAGTGTGAGTATAGCGACCAGATGACGATATCTAAGCATTATTTTATTTATTTTATTTTTCTTATGTTTTTAATAATTGATTAACGATTAGCTATTCTATCGAGGGGATGTATAGAATTTTTAGATGTGAACCATTTTGACAATGAAGTGACAAAATGGCAGACCTGCTGTATATACACGCAGTGGCACAGTACATAGAGGTGTAGAGGTTTTCTGTTTTTAGCATGGACTGATAATGTTTGCGTCTGTCAGGCAGACGTGTGGGTAAATGAAGTATCTGATGTACTGTTGTAAAATAAATGTTTCTGTTGCTTCAGAGCTTCTGTTCTCGCTGTGAGTTCTTTGATTTAAAAGTGGAAAGGAGAGATGAGGAGCGGGTGACAGAGGTCTGGCAAACTCATCTCTTTTTTGTTTTTGTAAACTCTTGCTCAAGTGGCATCAGTTGAAGCAAGTTACAGGACTTTGCGTAACTCCCCTTTGAACAACAAAACAAACTTGTCATGTGCCAAGACCTTCAGACTCTGATGTGTAAATTGCCCATAGTTAGTCACAGACTCAATCCAAACATTCAATGAGCTTTTAAATATTTCCTCCTTATGAAGTAGGGTGGTATAATAACCATGAAAAACTCTTCTCCATGTTGGCTTTATTTAGTTGAATGTCGTCAGCATAGATGTTACAAATAACCTTAGACACTTCACCCCAAAGTCAAAATTACATAACACACTTTTCCTCTGACCTGCGTGCTATTTATTCAACTAGATTGTTTTGGTGTGAGTTGCAGAGTGTTGGAGATACCAGACACTATACTAGACACTCTGCAATGTCTCTTTCCAGAAATCATGACCCACTTACCCAAGATAATCCACAGACCTTGTTGTGAGCAGTTTCATGTAGGAACTATTTTATTTCTACTGAGCTACACCCACAAACCGTATCACCACGCAGAAGGTAGCATACTCCCCTGATTTTAATTTTCTGTTTACATGACATCATTATGTACAGATTTAATGTTCTTGTAACCTTTATACCATCAAAGCAGTGATGAAACTTGGTAAAAACTACCAGCGTAACTATATATGTAGCAGATAATTAAGGGGACTTCTTAACGTATGTGTGGTCTAGTCACATATTTATACATATTGTCAGATTTGTCCAGACTAAGCAGTTTTGCACAATTCCCATGACAAAGTATGTATATAATTCTATTTATTGTAATAATTATCATATTGTTATCAGCATTGTTGTGATACTTATTGCTATGTGTCAAAAGATTTGATCCCAAGAAGCATGATTAACCATAAAAGAAGAGGATCGAGACAACTGCCCTGTGGAACACCACAAGGCATTATATAAGATGAATATATCGTAAGTACTTCCCATTTTTCATCAGAAAAAGGTCATAATAATCATATTTAATGTGAAATAAATTGATGTGTAAAACAATTTGCAATAAAGTTAGAGAATTAAAATAATGGGGCGGCACGGTGGTGTGGTGGTTAGCACTGTCGCCTCACAGCAAGAGGGTTGCCGTTTCGATCCTGGGTGTGGGAGCCCTTCTGTGCGGAGTTTGCATGTTCTCCCCAGGTCAGCGTGAGTTCTCTCCGGGCACTCCGGCTTCCTCCCACAGTCCAAAGACATGCAGATTGGGGAATGGTAGGTGTGAATGTGAGTGTGAATGGTTGTTTGTCTCTATGTGTCAGCCCTGCGATAGTCTGGTGACCTGTCCAGGGTGTACCCCGCCTCTTGCCCGATGTCAGCTGGGATAGGCTCCAGCCCCCCCGCGACCCTCAAGAGGATGAAGCGGTTAGAAGATGAATGAATGAATGAATTAAAATAATTATTCAGCAACAAAAAAACAGCATTCCACTTTCCTGACTAAAAATACCAACTTTAATTTACTGTGTATAAGACATCAGTATCATTTTCATGTTACATCTAAACCATTAAAGCAGAGATGAAACACAGTAAAAGCTGCCAGCATAATGGTATGTGGCAGATAAATAGGAGTGATTTAGTTCTCGGTGTGATAGTCCCATATTCAGTCAAGACCTCCAATCTAAACTTGGCATGACTGAGTGCTTTTGTAGTAACCATAAAAAGCAGATAATTCTACTTTACTATGATTCTCATGATAATATTTGCTGGTCATTCATACCATTTATTTAATTTTGGTTGATTGAATATATTAGTATATAGTGTTTAGCACCCCTAGTGGCCATTGTAAGAACAGACTCTTTAGACCACATCAGTCTCCATTTTAGTTGATACATGACTGGGGCTAATGTGCAGTACAGCATTTTCTCTCGGTGAAGTTTTGAGAATATATGCCTGTAAGCATTTCTAACTCATTTTCCAGTATATTAATGATAACTGGATGGCGACTTGTATCCTTTTTGAGTTATTTCTGCAATACTTAAAATGTATACAGCAGAGTTGTATTTTGCTTATTCATGCTAGGCTGTTAAGCTAGTTCCTGGTTAATTGGGCAGTTAAGAAGTGCTTATTGTAAAACTGAATTAAAATTGCCTACCTGTAAACACTGTATTGAATTTCTTTAATATTTTTAGTTGTTTTATTTGACAATGTGGTTAAAATAAAATTGTTCTAATGAATGTATACTTACCTATAATACACCTGTAACGTAAAAAGGAGGCAATAATCATATTTTATTTGGATATTGTGTTCCAGTTTTACAAAGTAAGAGATTCAATGAGACAAACAAAGCTTGAAGAACAAGAATCTAAGTAAAAAAAAATCTAAAATCATCCAAGCCTCAAGTATTGGATCACGTATGTTAACTATCCATCTCACCGTGACAATGACAGGTCAGGTGAGGACAGAATATAATACCTACGCTAATGTCAGCAGCATAGTCATGATAATTAAAGTTAAGTGTCAGAAGATTTGATCCAAAGAAGCATGTATAATCAGAAAAGGAGGGGACCGAGACGACTGCCCTGTGGAGCATCACAAGGCATTTTATAAGTTCCTGATAAATGGCCTAATGTATCACAAACTCATGAAATACCTCTCACTTCTTATTAGAAAAACTTCATAAATGCCTTATAATAAAATATCATAAAAAGCTGACATGAAAACCAATTCTCAACTCAATAAATTAAAAATAAAAAAAATAGCAAATTAATCTAAAAACACAACATCTCGCCACATTCTTAATTAAATATCCCAGCTATAATTTCCTGTACTTGTTATTATTTTATTAAAGTATGATACATTTCATAAGCAGTCTATAAACATGAACAACAGCAAATGATATATATCACTATAATATAGTTGTAAGAGAGCTTAAGTGTTAATTAATGTATTTGTCAACAGCACCCAAAACTGGAGGCTGCTGTATAAACAGATAATAAATGACAATCAAGTAAAACAGAAAATGACATAAAATATGTCTTTAATAGAGATGTTTTGATTGTTGAAAATACTGGACATTAATAAACATATTAAAGAATGTCTGCAGCAAAACCAACGCTTGAATTGAACTTTTAACATATTCAGTCTCAGTAATCAGGTTATAATGTGCAATGTAAACATGGTGACAGCGACATGTAAAGAGTTGACTGAATTCTCTGCAGTGGTCCCATTGACCTACAGTAATAAATGTGTCTCAAAATTTAATGTGGTAATTAATAGTAGATATCAAAAGGCCACAGTTAGCACCTTTAGGAGGACAGTGAGTGTGTGTAACAGTAGAAAGAGGACAGCCTGGCATGGTCTTAATCCGTCCACATACCAGCCACTGCCCGATATGGTGTGTGTGTGTGTGTGTGTGTGTGTGTGTGTGTGTGTGTTGGGATCATTTCAGAGGCACTGGGCTGAAATCTGATGCCCTCCCCCATCTCAGATCAGCCCCCCCACCCCCAGCAGCCCCCTCCATGGGTCCACTCACTCAGACACACACTCTGCTGTGGATGGTGAGGAAGCTGCGAACAAACAAACTCAGCAGTCGGCTACTTGTTTGGAAAAAGAGGAATGGAGTGTTGGATGAGCCGGAGGGAGGGTGTGTGAGGAAGAGGAGGACGAGCACTGGAAGGTGAAAAGGTGGAGAAGTTGGCTTCATGTCCCCGTCCAGCAGATTTAGTGTCAGTGCTCGGTGTCACCGGAGCTGAAGAGGAGAGCTGTGAGTGGAGATCAAACTTCTTGGATATGAAACTGCTTTTACTTGAACTGACTGACCTGGATGTGACGTCTGGACCTCAACTTTTGATAGTGATTTCTTCAGCGATGTCTGTGATTCTTCTCACCACTTAACTGGACATTAGGAGCCTCTCCACAGCAACAAGTGCTTCACTGAAGTCAAACTGTCTGACTGAGTGAGTGACTGAGTGAGTGAGTGAGTCGGGGATTTCCAGATCTGAGACACAGTGTTGCCCTCTGCGGTCTGTGCAGTCAGCAGCTTCATGCACAACTTACCCAACAAGTTTTAAAGCCAAATTAATCCTGGAAATGAAACTGCAACATCCTAGATTATTGTGTGCATGTAAAACCTGCAGCTGACAATATTGAGAGACAGTTTACTCTGATAAATGATTATATTTAACTGACTATTTTTAAATTAAAACCGGAACAAACTCACCCTGAGGACCTCCAAATATAAAGTTCAGCCCTGCTCCTCCTGCAGGACTCTGGTTGTTGGTGCTTTACTCACAGTTGCAGGATTTTGGAAAAATACAAAGCTGGATTTACTCTTTGAGACACAAATACGTCTCAGTAAAATGAGTATTTGATTGTATGTAGAGACAAGCAGAAAGACCACAAATAGGAAGAAGAAGACCAACTGCCTACAACTTTTAATGACAGAGAGAAACTATCCACCGACCGTCATCAACCATCAGCAGATGGAGAGTAAGGTGAGTAAACAGATTTTCAAACTGTTCTTATGTTGCCTTCCTTTAAAGAAATGTCCTGTCATGGTTTTACTCTTGTGTTTTTGTCATTGATGTCTTTCTTGAGTTTTCTTATGCTGCGTGTTTCATTTCCCTTTAACTTTTACCTTACCTTTAAAAAAAATCTTCAAGGGGCCATTTGCATGCAGGAAAAATATTGGCATTGTACGTTTCTATAAATCTTGGATACGTTAAATTTGTATATTATAATATAGCAGATACATTGAAATTTTACGTTTTAACAACGCTGCGGTTAATGTGTGGTTAAGTTAAGGCACAAAAGCCACCTGGTTATTCTTCGTAAAAATCAACCACTTTCCGTGGCACTATCCTCGCTGGAAATGCAGCAACAACTCACTACAAAACACCCACTTTGGGTGCCTAAAAAGCTTCTGGAAACAAAGCGATGACTCACTGAAAAACAACCAGTTTTGTTGTTGCGGCTTGGCAGACGTCTCGCCTAGGTGTCCCTCCTTGTACTGTCTCCTCCACAGGTCATAAACTACATCAGTTTAGAAACTTTGATAACATATGTACGAACTTGCACCAAAGTCGTTGAAATCTGCTGCTTGGGCAGTGACCTTTGGCGTTGGACACTGACGAAAAAAGCTGTGCTTTAACTTCCGCATGATATGCAGCCATTTAGCAATATAGTTTAACGTCACTTGGTGCCGTCAGGGTTAAACGGCCAGGACATGAACGAAAGTTAAGACAGCAAAACTCTGAACAGGGCCTGTGGTAGGGATGGTGATTGGGTCCAACAAACATCGACTTTCACCAGAGTGAGCAGTGTTCACCCCCCGTAACATCATAAAGCCAAACCCTGTTCTTGTTTCCTAAACCCAACCACATGCTTTTGTTGTTGAAGGGGAAAAAAATATTTGAGTTGTTGTAGTGCTTTTATTTTGAAAGAGACTGTATGCAAACTGGACATTTCCTGTGAAAACAGAAGTGTATTTTGAAAGAAGACAATGCATGTAACAGGTGACATGGCGCCCCAGAATGTCAACAACCAACACACCCAGGGTACCTTGGACGTCATATGTGGACGTGAAAAGTCCAAGTGTCCAAATGTGACAAGGTCAAAATAGGAATGTGTGTATGAAACATGTAACATTTGTGGTTTTCTACAAAACACCCACTTTTTGTGTCTAAAAAGCTGCTGGAAAAACATTGATGACTCCCAAAAAAACAACTGGTTTTGTTGTTTGCTGGTCTCTGCCAGTGGTCTGCAGCTTGGTAGGCGTCTTGCTTTACTCTATCCACCGTCCCCTCCACCTCCAGATGACAAAGTCAGGTCATAAACTACATCACTTTAGAAACGTATGATGATAAAATACGTATGAAACGTGCAAATGTAAAGTATCAATGGTTTGCAGAAATGTACAATGCCAACGACTCGGCTGCATGTTTTCTCCCATTAACGTTAAATTATTTTTCAGAAAGCACATTTTTAGATTTCTATCTACTTTCACTTTATATGCATTTATACTTATTACCTCCACAAAGGAGGTTATGTTTTTGTCGGTGTTGGTCTGTTTGTTTGTCTGTTTGACTGTTTGTTTGTCTGTTTGTTTGTTTGTCTGTCTGCAAAATAACTCAAAAAGTTATGAACGGATTTTGATGAAATTTTCAGAAAAGGTGGATAATGGGACAAGGAACAGATGATAAAATTTTGGTGGTGATCGGTTGAAGCAATTCGATAAAATAATAAATAAAGTCTGACAGCCTCAGCAGCAATTAAGACGGTGAAAGTAGCGCCATCTGGTGGCCGGAAAGCACATCTTCTACTTGCTAAATATTGTTGTAATTCTAAAGTTGGAATTAATGTTCTGTGTTGGGAAAAAAGAAAGTGAAAAATACAAATAAACATATTATATTCTGTGTTGGTACAAAATAAAAACAAAATAAATACACCACAGTGTCTCCATGGTGAAGGCATATACAACCTAATAATGATAGTGATGCAAATAACCTAACTGTGATGCAGGCTGCAAAATCTGATGCGGAGGGGGAGGGAATATCACCTACTTGGCAGAGGTCTGCACTCTCTGAGTGCTTTTCTAGTTACACTATATTTTGAAAAATCACCCAGAGATACAAATAAGGCTTTAATCCATAACAGTAAACATTTAGTGCAGGTTACTTTTTTATTTTAAGTATAATTATCAAACAGAGTAATGGACAGTACCGCACTCATTGCAAAACAGACATTTTTCTTGAGCGTTAAATTTTTCAACCCATAAACAAACAAAGAAACAAACAACACATCACAAACCAATGAAATCAAAATCACCCTCCCACCTTCCCAAATGTCCACGTGGCACAAATCAGACTTTCTTGAGTGCCAGAAGAGACAAAGAAAAAATTCAATTTCAGATAAAAAAGACAAGGTGATATTGAGCAAATTAACTGTCTATCTATAAGTTAGAGAGTTCATACAGGAAAGAAACACGTCCCAAGTTCTTTCTTTCAAGAATCTTTTCCAGATCTTCTGACGGTGTACTTGATTTTTTTCTAGGTGGAAAAAAGACATTAAATCCTTGAACCAAGAAGTTGTGCTGTGGTTGTTAGGGCTCTTCCACTGTAACAGTATGCGCTGTTCTGCTATGAGGGTAGCAAACAATACAGAACAAGCTGCAGGTTCCCTTTTAAACAACATACATGACAGTATTGTGATAATACAGCTGGAAGCAGGAGGTGTGTTCATGAAAGCTTCGACATCTGAACTTTGAGTGTTTTTGTAAAAATCAAGCCAAATATTTCAAACCCAGCTGATCTACCACTGAGTAAATAATTACAAACACATGCAGATAAACTTTATTTTAACTTCTCATGGTTTCACCAGTTTGAGAAAATAGTTTCCCGATGATAACTGTTAGGACAAATGTATATAAAGATGCAAAACAACAACTATAATATCTCAGTCTAATGGAAAGTATGCAGCCATAAAAACATGAAGCTATATGATGTTCACTCAGTGTAAACATATAGCTTTTATGAACAGCTGCAAGATGGTGATAGGGAACATATACACAACCTGTTACTGTCAGACAGAGCTGTGGCAAAAGATTATCTTTTTTCCAACATTAAAGCTACACCAAGATATAAAAGAAGATGACTGGATTTAATGATTCCCTCCCAGTTCAGTTGTATGCAACTTCTCAACCCTCAACATCCAAAGTATGTTTTTGAAACCGTTCAACAGTGACTCAAGTCTGTACAGTTTAGAGTTATGTTCTAAAATGTGTAAAGAGAAAGAGAAAAAAAAAAAAAAATAAATAAATAATAAAATAAAATAAAATAAAATGTGTAAAGGCACCACATCAGTCCCTCACTAACAATCAGACTTGCTGACAGCTGATCAGTGTGTGTGTTCTGGTGTCAACAGGAGGAGCTGAAGTTTGGCGGAGCGGCCATGTCTCTGCCTGCAGACCTGAGCTGCCTGCAGGGCGGCGGGGGAGCAGAGGCGCTGGCGACGCTGGAGAAACAGCTGATCTGTCCCATCTGTCTGGAGCTCTTCAACAAGCCGGTGGTCATCCTGCCCTGCCAGCACAACCTCTGCAGGAAGTGTGCCAACGAGCTTTATCAGGTCTGTGACACAGCAGCACACACGTGGGCCGCCACCAAAATACATGTGTAATACATCATGTTACATCAGCTGGGCAGATATTTAACCAGCTGTCACGTAAATGTAGTGCAGTTAGGGTAAGGTATTTGTCTCTGAGATGTAATCGAGTACAAACATAAAGTAGTATAAAGTGGAGATAGTCAAGTGAGGTGTTTGTACACACAGTTCTGTACATGTCTGTACTGTATGTGCTGCCTGGAACACACTTATCTTTCATCAGACATGCTGCAGTACTGCACTGTTCACAACACACACACATACTTAAAACAAAGCCCACGTCAGATGTGTGTGTGTGTGTGTGTGTGTGTGTGTGTGTGTGTGTGTAGTGGATTATCAGTTTCTAAAATGGGCCGAGTGGATGTTCAGCTGGTTTGCTCATGCACATGAAAATCACCTGCCTGACCTACATTAACTGCTATTGTTCAGATCGTGTGTGTGTTTTGTAGGTTTTAATTTATTTATTTATTTATTTATTAGTTTTTGGGCTATCTTCACCCTGGGTGCATGTGTTTGAGTCCGAACTTGACATTAGTCGTTCCTGCTGACCCTGCTGCGGTGACATGAAACTAAAAATGCAACTAAATTTTCTTTAATCAGTAACTCTTCCTAAAGCTCCAGTGTGGAGGACTCAGGGGGACATATTGATTTAGGAGGACATATTGGCAGAAATGGAATATAATATAATAATTAAGTTTTCTTTAGTGTATAATCACCTGAAAATAAGAATGGTTGTGCCGGCGACTTTTAAGGTGGAACGTTAACTTGTAATGTTACTCAATGCATGAGTTGATGACATGAATCCATCAGCATACCTTAAATTTCACTGTGACAACTTTGACAATCACTTTAGTTTTTGTATGACCTTTTTTGAACACTTTTAGTAATGAGTGGATCTTCAAGTGTTTAAATATATTAATTTCGGCCAGGTTATGTGAAGGTCATATATTCTAATCCTCACTTCTTGTGGGCTACAGCAACACTAAACCCCTGAGCTTGCCTGAGAAGGACTAAATGCACAAAGCTGCTATTTTTAAATATCCCATGGAGAGAGACTCTCACTGCAGCCTGTTCTATTTTGTTGTGAAAATGTGGGCGTGCAGCCTCGTTCTGTGGACGATAAACCAGGTGCAGACTTCCATGACCCACTAGGGTCTAGGTGCCATGTCTGAAGGGTTACTGTTGGTTCCAAAGATACTATACCGAAAGTGTTTGTTGGAAATGGGGTAGAGACAGACAACCATTCACGCCTACAGCCAGTTTAGAGTCACCAACTGACCTAATCTTCATGTCTTTGGACTGTGGGAGGAAGCCAGAGAACTCCCTTGCTGACACGGGGAGAACACAAACTCCACACAGTGACTCCACTCCCCCACCCAGGGTTTGAACCAGGAACCCTCTTGCTGTCAGGTGACAATGCTAACCACTGCACCACCATGTCCCCAGAATGCCACTGATGGTGTCATGAGCACATGACTTTTCTTCCTGTACGAACGACCTATGTACGTGTTCTTCGAAGAAAGATCCAGATCTTTTTTTCCCACACTCTGGATCACCCTGACATTTCCAAACCTGAAATGCATAAACATATTTTTACCACTCAGTGGCATTCACATGTTCACCCAAACACACTTAACATGTTAGGTTGCATGTTCACGTGTGTTTTTTGCGTGTGTGTGGAATGTGAGATGGAAGCTTTATAGACTTCTCCCTCACTGTCATGCTCATGTTCGTGACCTCTGACACTGAGAGGTCTGTCCTGCAGAACACACACACACATTCACACTCACACTCACACTGATACATGCAATGGAAAGAGATTATGGTCTCGCCAAACTCTCACCTGACCACATACTGTTTGTATCCAAGAGCTCATTCTGTCATCAACAGTCTCTTCTTCCCTTGTTCCTCAACTTTCATATCGTCAGGAATTTTTGATCTATACTGTTGGAAAGTGTTGAAAAATTCCCAAACATTTTCCATACATTCATAGGTGCTGTGATTGTGAAACTGGTGTGAAACTTTGCTCTAAGTGGGAATTAAAAGGCCTCAAAAAGTCTTAAACATATCTTATGAAGCCTGCAGAAACCCTGCTGAAGCAAACTAAATATTTTGTATAGACAATGACTTTGTAACACAGATTGACAGCTTGAAAATAAATTATACAACAGAAGGGGTGTCAGAAATTGCTTATTAACATTCTAATCGTTTTCCTTGACTGTGAAATCGTGTCACTTTATAATCGATATGAGTTCGAGCTGCTTGTAAACACACTGTAAACCATCTCTGTCTCTGTGTGTTTGTCTCTACCAGCTGATCCCTCCGTCAGGCCCAGCAGCAGCTGAGGCTTATTAAAGGCCACTATTTCAGGACGCGTTACACCTCTAACCTTCCCTTCGTCTCTCTCCGCTCATCTGTCCTTTTCCTCACTCGTCTGTCTGTCTCTGTAACTCTCAATTCTCTAATCGGTTTCCATTTCTGCTCAGTTTTCTCTTGTGATCTCTTGTTTTATGTTTTCATCTTCACCTGTTGAAATATCCGTCCATATTTCTGTCTTAATATACAGCTGAAAGCCCTGCTTAGGTATTTGACCTCATTCATAAGGTGACATCTTGGTTTATATGCCAACTTTTTTCTTCTGTCTTTGTTTAAAAACTACAGTTAATCCTAAAATAAAAAATAAAAAAACATATCTCTCTTACCTGTAGTGCTGTTTATCAATCTAGATTGTTTTGGTGAGAGTTGCAGAGTGTTGGAGATATCAGCTGTAGAGATTTCTACCTCCTCTCTAACATAATGGGAGTAGATGACACTCAGCTTGTGGTGCTCAAAGTGCCAAAAAAATACATTTGAAAAACTCGACAGCAATGTCTCTTTTCAGAAATCATGACCCAGTTACTCAAGATAATCCACTGAGCTTGTTGTGAGCAGTTTCTACCAAACGTCACCTGTCAACTGTATCATTGTGCAGAAGGAAGTGTGCATCTACTCATGAACGAGAGGCTCGTGCTCAAGACTGCACAAGATGTGAACATGAATGGCGTCCTCCTCTGCTGAGCTGAAACGTCAGTGGTTCAAGAAGTACTCAGATCTTTCACTTTAGTACAAGTGATGATACCAAAGTGTAGAAATCAAGTAAAAATCCTGCTTTCAAAAATTTAGTTAAAGGAGCAATAAGCGAAATCGTTTCACCGCTAGGTTCGCCGTTGTGCACTGCCTTTAGAGCAAAACAAAGTGTGTCATGAGCCACTCCTCCCTCTACCTCTGCTCTCCAACACGGACTATCACATCCAGACGGTCCCGGTGTTTCTTCCGCAGGCTCCGCTTCACTCAGCTTCACTCAGCTTCACTCAGCTGCCCGATATACCCGCTGCTTCTTCCCACATTAACCTGAATAACAACCCAGGGCTCGGTGCTCCGGTTGGATCCAAATGGAGAGCCGCTAGCTGGGAAGCTAGCAGAGGCTAACTGGCTGTGTTAGCAGCTGAGTGAAGTGGAGCATGAGGAGGAAGCACCGGTTAGCCCCCGCTTTCACTGCAGGCAGATTCACTCGCCACAGGGGCGAGGAAATAAAACCTAAACAGCCAACTTAGTTTAGCAGTTAGCAATGTCTTTCACTCACTCTCGGTCTCTGCTGTGTTTAGCTATTTCCCTGCTTTCCTGTTAGCGTTAGCACTACTCGGCTGCCACGCTAACGCTCCAACTCCAACTGAGCTGGGAGCCGGGCTCACGGTCTCACGGAGAAGAGTTGGAACGTTAGCATGGCAGCCCATTAGTGCTAACGTCCCCACGCTTCTCCGCCAGGCTCAGTGAGTCGGAGCCGAGAAGCGTGGGGACGTTAGTGTTAGCACTAGTCGGCTGCCATGCTAACGTTCCGGGAGCCTGCTTCTCGGCCCCGGCGAGCTCTAGCGTGGGGACGTTAGCGTTAGCACTAGTCGGCTGCCATGCTAACGTTCTGGGAGCCTGCTTAAGCGTGGGGGCGTTAGCGTTAGCACTAGTCGGCTGCCATGCTAACGTTCCAACTCTTCTCCGTGAGCCCGTGAGCCTGGCGGGCTCACGGAGAAGAGAGGAATGTTAGCGTTAGCTCCCAGAGTTAGCACTAGAGCTACTACGGCTACCGTGCAGAGCAAAGCATGTATCTACTGCTAGCTCAATTAGCACTACAGAACCAGCTGACATTACAGCTCAGCTGAGGAGGCCATTAATGTTTACATCCAGCCCTGTCACAAGCCTGAGCATCTCGTCTCTGAGTAGATGCACACTTCCTTCTGCACAATGAGACAGTTGACGGGTGATGTTTGGTAGAAAGAATATATTTCCTACATGAAACTGCTCACAATAAGGTCTGTGGATTATCTTGAGTAACTGGGTCATGATTTCTGGAGAGAGACACTGATGTTGAGTTTATCAAATTGATTTTTTTGGCGCTTTGAGCACCACAAGCTGAGTGTCATATAGGTCCATTATACTGGAGAGAAGACAGACATCTCTACAGCTGATATCTCCAACACTCTACGACTCACACCAACACAATCTAGATTAATAAACAGCACAACGCTTAAGAGGAAAATATATTTTTATATAGGAAGAACTGTCCCTTTAAGTATGGAGCCAGACCCTGGAGCTGATTAGCGTAGCATTAAGACTGAGAGCATTAAAATAATGACATCATCCAACTTCCACACTGTTTAAAACACACTGAATCTAAGATCTGAGATCTGTGCTCATCGAGCAGCAGTGTGTTATTTTTATTTCATCTGGAGACATGGACAGTTACCATAAGGTACTTGATGTGTGTGTGTGTGTGTGTGTGTGTTGTCACAGTGTTAACATGCTGGATGGTGAACAGGGGATTTTCTGGTCTTGTTTTTACCCAGTGACTCGTCCTGAACCAGCTCTGACTTCACCCAGGGAAGATTTTTCTCCACTGATGACCCCTTCTGATACTAAAACTGTTGCTAATTGACATCCCAGCATGCAGCTGTGTTGTCAGACAACAAACTCCAACTGCTGGGTGTTGACAGGCAGTCTTTGAGGGCTGAAGAGCAAATCAATCACAATGTATGAATATTTACATCATATGATTATCCTCTCTTCCTGTGCAGCCGTCCCTGTTCCAGGCTCGCACCACCATGATGGTAAACAGCGGCCGCTTCCGCTGTCCGTCCTGCAGACATGAGGTGGTGCTGGATCGCCACGGTGTCTACGGCCTGCAACGAAACCTGCTGGTGGAGAACATCATCGACGTCTACAAACAGGAAGTCAGCAACAACAACAACGCCTCGAGGTGAAGGAGGACGACTGCAGGAGAATTATATAAAATATATCTCTGTACTCACAGGTGTTTAAAGACGTGGTGTCTTCCTCTCTCTGCAGCCCCCTCCCTCTTCCTCCTTCTCCTGCTCAGCTCACCTGTTCAAACCACGAGGGGGAGAAGGTGAACATCTACTGCCTCACCTGTCAGGTTCCTACGTGTTCTCTCTGTAAAGTGTTCGGAGCTCATCAGACCTGTCAGGTGGCTCCTCTGACAGACGTCCACCAGCAGAAGAAGGTAAACAATACTCTAACAGTGGTTCCCAACTGGTCCAGCCACGGGGTCCAGATTTCTCCGTAGTCATTATTAACTCGAGGTCCCACAGTTTAATACGTTCAGCTTCATACTTGTGTTTGGCCATGTCGTTGAGCCAGTTTGCTGTGTCTGTCAAGTAGCTGTCCGTTAGGCCCCGATCACACAGGAAGCATTTTGCAGGTTGCAAAACACAAAATGCACCACATAAGAAAAAGGGGCAACCACTCCATCACATCCTTACACTAACCTTCCTCTGTAATCAATCTACTGTCTATTTTTCCCCAGTAATCAGTGTGTAGTTGCTGACATGTTGAGGCAGAGGGTACTGTCAGCAGATAAACAGAGATCTGTGTGGGTACATGAGACCCTAAAAAAGAGGCTGGATCATGGGGAGTACCACCAGTTGGTCCAGGAGCTTCTCCTCCATCATGGACGTTTCCAGGCAGATTTTAGGATGACTCAGGGACAGTCTGACAACCTGCTGTGTATCGTCGGGCCGTATAGCTCTGGGTATCCAGCAACCGCTACCACCAGTTTCTCCTCCATTGTTTACCAACTGTAAACTTGTTGTCGTGACCACCACAGAAGCCCCACCTCTCAAATCATCTGACTGGACAATGGAGGGGAATAAATGATGACGTGGAGCATTTTACAGCTCCGAGTTGGATTTTTTACAACTTGAGTTCAGAGCGCTCTGGCAAAAACGCCAGGTGCCTAGAGCGCAGAAACATAAGGCGCATCGCAACGCAAAAACTGCAAGCAAAAAGCTTCATTCTCATTAAAACAATTACAAAACGGCACCTCCAGCTGCTGAAATGCTTTCTGTGTGATCAGGGCCTTAGCTACTCACTCTACATAGTCTGGGGCCGTTAGTGGCCGTTTTGGTTAGGAAATGGATCCAGGTCGAGTGAGACATGATCCGGAATTCGATGTATTTGCCTTTCCGTAAAAATAAAAGCACCAAGCTAATAAAAATGCGGTGAAACTTTTAATTTAAAGAATATAATTTACAAGAAAAGCCCTAAGCCATTAAGTTAATCGATTTTCTTACACCCCTCATCACCCCAAATCGATGGTGCGCCAGAATTTAAAGTTTTACTATGGTGAACACTTTTAGTTTGGTGAATTTGGTGAATACCGCATCTGTTCCCTATACCTGAACCAGAATCCAGATAAAATTCAGATTGAATAGACACCAGGCTCTTCGCTTGAAGAGCCTGGTGACGCGAGGCTAACTCTACAGCAGAAAACGGCACTTCAAAATAAAAGCTCTGTGCTGGAAATTTACTGTACACACTGTAAAATCACAAGTTTTATCACAATACAATATTTGCTCATAAGAAAGTCTGCCAGGATTTCATGATCGATGAGACACGATATCAGTAAATATCCTTATTGTCTTTGTCTTGGCTGCTCACCAACATCTGCCTGGCACCGGGCCGCTAACACAGTTTGAATGTTTAATAATAATAATAATAATAGCTTTTATTTTTATAGCGAACAAACAAACAAAACAAGACAGAGCAAGATAAACAGACTAGCTGCCAAAGGCCTGTGTGAATAAGTGTCTTTTCAGCACAGACTTGAAAGTGTCCAGAGAAGGAGCATGGCGAATCTCCGTAGGGAGAGAGTTTAGGAAGGAGGTGCACCTTGATGGAAATGGTAACAAAGATGTGCCTTTCGAATTTCAAAATAAAGGCGTGATTGGTGGATTGTTGATGACTGAACAGATATATACTGATCCAGGTCAATGTTGTGTTATGTTCTTATTAATTAGACTAATTTTTTTAACATTCACTTCTAACAAAAGATAAAAAGAAAGTTGGTGTCTCAAAAGTATCGTGTTAATTATCTATTGGGGTTAAAATGCAAAACCTGGCATGTTTAATTGGGCTTTAAATAACTAAAGGCTGTGATTAACTTGTAATCATAAGTGTTTATAACAAGTTAATGTCCTTTTGTTTCTCAGGATGAGCTGAGTGAAGGCATCAGTTCTCTGGTGGCGTTCAACGACAAAGTCCAGGCTCTGATCGATGGCCTCGAGGAGACGTGCAGAACCATAGAGGTGTGTGTGTGTGTGTGTGTGTGTGTCTGTGTCTGTGTGTGTTTGTTTGTTTGTTTGACTCAGTCGCACACACACCGTCCTGCTGCCATACATCCTCACTAAAGCACCAAATGTGGATAAATCTGCTGCTGAAAGAACTGCCGTACAATCATTTATTTTATTGTCACCCACACATGGTTTCTAGTTCTTACATATAGTGCAAACACTCTACATTAAAGCATGCATTTTGTTTTGTGCACTAAAGTTTGTTCTACCCTCTGCAGGAGAACTGCAAAACTCAGAAACAAAGTGTGTGTGAGACGTTTGACCGAGTGTTTTCCATCCTGGAGGAGAGACAGAAGGTCAGATGTTCTTTTCTCAGCATGTTGTTCACAAACATGAAGTCATTTAACATAAAAACTACATTTCAATATGTGGACGGTCTCCTCACATATGTTTTACATCACAATATTGACACATACTGCAGAATATAGTATCTAAAAATAGTTAATATATAAAAACACGTCAGAACATTGTGCAGGTTATTTAAGTTCTTTACTCTGCACTTTCTGATGGCAGTAAAAGTCATAGCTGCAGTAACCTTACTCTCCTACTTACTGTCATCATCATCATCGTCATCATCATCACCACATTGAAGGCGATGACACAGCGAATCAGCTCAGAGGAGGAAGAGAAGACAGGCCACGCCCAGACGTTGGTGCGTTGCTATGGAGAGAGCGTGGAGGCCAACAACAAGCTGGTGGAGAGAGCAACGAGCAGCATGGAGGAGCCGGACATGGCTGCTTTCGTTCAGGTGCTGTGTGTGTGTGTGTGTGTGTGTGTGTGTGTGTAATCTGGTTGTCTTATGTGCAACTCAATTAACATTTTAAATCACTTTCTGAATCCTGGGGCTGTCTAAAGGTGACGATACACACCTGAATACAGACATTATTGTCTCATAAGAAAACTACAGTGTGGAAGCTCATGTGAAAAATGTTTCTGACCACAAGTCAAAGATCACTGCACAGTTACAGTCAGGTACTCCTTCTGTAACTATAGAAACATGCAGGTTTAATGATCTCCCTTTGCCTGATATTTTAATTCACGCTTTGCTGCTCATTATCAGTGATGGAGGAAGTACTCGTTGTACCAAGGTGTAAAAGTTCAGCATGCAAAATCTCACTTAAAGGAGCTCTATGACATTTAGAACATTAATAAAGCTGCTGCAGATTTTTCCCCATTTTTTTTAAACTTGAAAGTACTGAAATAACGAGATAGTACGGCAACACCACTTGGACAAATCCCACACAAAACTGGTCTGTCGTAGCATAGCAAATTTTCAGTATGTTGGGGGTTACATTTTGAGCTTATCTAAATATAAATTATAATTACTGCCCTGATTTACTGTTTTTGGTGCATCTTGTGCAGAACTGAGGCAATGTCAGGTTAAAGGTCAGTTAAAATTATTTAAAACTGACTCGTCTAAGACCTGAATCTCTAAAATGATCTTTTTATTATCCCCTCCTCTGCCACTCTTTCCTTAGAATTCAAGAGAGCTGATCAAAAAGTGAGTATAGAAATTGTTTGTTCCCTATAATGTATTTTTGTTTTGCTCTAAACTGAATAATTTGCTTGATTTTGAACGCCCTTCCTTTTCTTTCATCCACTCTTTACTCCTCATACCTCCTTTCTTTCCCCATGTACCCCCTCCTCCTCGTCCTCCTCGTCCTCCTCCTCCTCCTCAGGGTGATAACAGCGACCGGCTCGTGTCCAGCTGCGACACTGAAACCAGGTTATGAGAGTTTGAGCCACTACAGATTTAACTTCAGCCGACAGGAGAGAGCTCTGAGGAGCATCGACTTCCCCAAAGGTAAGAAGAGAGGCTGCCTGGGAAACCACTTAATGAAACTCAATCTTTATAAGACACCGTTTATTTTGCATGAGAGGCATTTCAGCTGCACAACAACAATTTATATCATCTGTGAAAATGTTTTCTACGTCTGCAGCAGCACGATACCTGACTGACATATAACATTATAGGATGAAAAAGAGGTATTTTAAACAAACAACACGCTCACTGTGTGTGTAGAGACTTATCTGTAAGGCTGTGTGAGTGTAATATAGACTCAGTAGCACTATCTGTGTGAGTGATTTTAATTTGAGATCTATGAGCCCCATCCAGAAATAGTTGGAAGCTGCAGAAGGTAAAGATTGAGTTGAATCTTTCAATGCACAAAAGAAACAGAGTAAATAGAGTTATTGATCAGGTGGACTCAGTGTCAGTGGTGAAGGAAGTATTCAGATCCTTTATGTTGGTAACGGCCTGAAAACAAATAAATAAATGAATAGATAAATAAAAGGGGAGGGAATTTAGCATGCTCTTGGACTGTATCTCTGGTTGGGTCCCAAGGACGAAGAGGTGCAGGGGTGAATCTGAGGCAGGTCAGGACAGCTGGCTCTGGGCAGATTCCTTGTACTTTTTTTGTTTGGTTGTTTGTTTGTTTTGCTCTAGCCTGCCTTAGGCCGCCATCAGACCCATAGGACGTGGCTGGTCCCTTTTAGACCAGTACCCACCTCTCCAGGAGGGAACTTTTCAGATGGGGCTGTGGAGCTGCTTTCTGTTAGGAGATGGATTTAGTAGGAATCAGGTTCTCTATCTCTAGCTGTCCTAAACAAGTCTAGTCTCGCCATCAGACAATCAGAGATCTCCGCCTTCTGATAGTCTGGGGACACTCCTTTCTAAAGTGTGTTTAACACACCGGAGAAAACAGCCGGCAACAAAGCAACGCCTCTTGCATTTTTGAAAAGGACACGCCCTCCCGGAAATGTGCGCTCCCCCTTTTCTCGTCTGCAAGGAAACAAACACACAGAGAGCTTGAAAATGGATGCTGAGAGATTTAACTCCGTTTTATCAAACGTGTGCTCAGTCCACAGGATTGTGGAAATAAAGGACTTACAGTGACTTGAGCCATTTTGTACCGCTGCACGTGTTTCTAGTCGGACTATGTTTACGAGCACAAGAGTTCAGCGAGCCACCGAAGGACCGCCCTGCGGATTTACTATTGGTTCTGCAACGTAGGTAGTTTTTTTAAACTCTGAAATTGTATCCGTCCATCTAAACTAGTGATGGGATTTCTCATTAATTTTTGAGAGCCGGTTCTATGGCTCTTGTTCGCTTTGAAGAGCCGGTTCAAAGATGCGGTTCGTTCGTTCAGGGGTTTTTTGGGTTTTTTTTGCTGTGTGTTGTGTGGAGGGCAAGTGTTAGTGGGTTCAACGACGAATCGCATTGCTGATTTATCGCATCACGTGATCTGGATATTGTAACATGGACCCAGAATAGGCCCCGCACATATAAAGTTTGGTGTAGCCATAGCAACATCCATTTATAAACAACAAGCCTGTCAATACAAGCAAGTGCTGGCGGATAGTGGGTTAGCTTCCTACCGTTCGTTTCTAACCAAGGGGGTTTGTTCACTCTAAAGAGCCGGTTCACTCGTTCACTTCAAAGAGCCGGTTCAAAGACTCAGCTCGTTCGCAAACATCACATCACTAATCGAAATACAAAATCAGGGAGAAAGTCATCAGTCTTTAGTTAAGCAAAGCGTCTAAAGACTGACTTGTGAGTCTAAAACAAGTCCAACAAGTAACCAGCTTGTTAAAAAGATCAAGTGATATCTTCAGACATTCAAGACACTCTTGACATAATATTTACATCATTCAGGCACTGACAGTGTGCTGTTCCCCGTATGAAAGCATGTTAGCATGCTTTACATGAAAAGAGAAGGACAAATATCTTTTGGACCTTGAACATTTTTAAAAACTGTCAGCGTTTGTGAAAATGTCTCGAGAAGTCTTTGACTTGAAAAGTAGGATATGATGTGGATGCGCTTCAACACATCCATCCATCAGTCCATTTTCATCCGCTTATCTGGGGCGGGGGCAGCAGGCCAAGCAAAGCACCCCAGATGTCCCTCTTCCCAGCAACACTTTCCAGCTCCTCCTGGGGGACCCCAAGGTGTTCCCAGGCCAGATGAGATATGTAATCCCTCCAGCGTGTTCTGGGTCTGCCCCGGGGCCTCCAATTGGTGGGATATGCCTGGAACACCTCTAATGGGAGGCACAGAGAAGGCATCCTGTATATGTCTGCTTGTATATGTGATCTTATTCTTTCAGTCACTACATGACCATAGCTGAGGGTTGGGATGTAGATGTACCAGTAAATTGAAAGCTTCACCCTCTGGCTCAGCTCCCTCTTCACGACGATAGTCCGGCACAGCGCCCACACCACTGTAGACGCTGCACTAAACGGCCGATCCATCTCACACTCCATTCTACTCTCTCCCAAGATACTTTAATAACTCTCCCCAACCCAGAGGGGGCATTCCACTGGTTTCCAGCAGAGAACCATAGCCTCATATTTGGAGGTGCTGACTCTTATCCCGTCTGCTTCACACTCGGCTGCAACCCGACCCAGTGCATGCTGGAGGTCATGGTGTGGTGAGGCCAACAGAACCACATCATCTGCAAAGAGCAGAGATGCTATTCTGAGGTAACCAAACTGTACCTCTTCCTCCCCTCAGCTGCACCTTGAGATCCCCGAGCTTGCCAGGGAGTGTCTGGTGGCCGGGCCTTGGGCCATGGGGCCCCAGTCTGGCCCAACCTGAATAAGTAACATGCAGCATTTGCCCTGTGGGCCCACCACCCTCAGGGACAGGAATCAGGGTCAGGTGCATTGCTGATGTTATTATGATTTCAATGAGTTTATAGATAAAGATCAAGAAAACCTAACATTCATCTAATGGACTTTAGATCAGATTCAACAATTTAAATGTCACATAAAGCAAAACGCAAACACTCATTCAGTCTCAACACGTCTTGTTGTCTCTCTGCAGTTGTGGAAGACGTTCCTGAAGAACCGGAGGTGGAACAAGAGCCAGAAGAACCCAAAGAGCCATCAGTGGAGAACATAGACCCAAAACACCATCAGGAAACCTCCACCCAGAACCTTGAATCTGTTTCAGAACCAGTCAAAGAGCCAATCCCAGTGCTGGTATCCTCACCAGTGGAACCGGCTGCAGTAACACCAGCTCCAGGTGTGGTGAGGGACTCTGTGGAACCAGCAGGGGCGGTTCTCCTGCCAGAGACTGAGGACCTGGACTTAGATGACAGAGGATCAAGTGTGATGAAGAACAAAACAGAGAAGGAGGAGGAGGAGGAGGAGGAGGAGGAGGAGGCAGAGGAGGAAGAGGAGGTGGAGGAGGAGAGATGTGCAGCTCCTGTTCCTGTTAAAGAGGGAAACATCTGTGAGGAGCAGGAGGGGATGAGCACGCAGCAGGTACAGTGTCAGTATTTCTGTTGAAACTAGAAGGTGTTTAATGCTACAGACCTGCTGACAGTCGACATACACAGACAGACTTCAACACGATAGTTCAAGCGTGACCAAGCAGCTAATTTTCCACTGTTCATTTCTAAGTGATAATTACATTAATGCTCGTTTGAGACTGCAAATGTTAATTGGAAATTAATTTCCGCTGTGAAAATGAACTTGACTGAACAAATCTTTCATCTTCACACACTCTGTCCTTCAGTCTCACACAGCCGACACTCCTCTCTTTCATATGTTAACACTTTAAAGGAACCCTGAGCTCACTGACTACAGTGTGTGTTATCTTCATATTGTTACAAACCACTTTTTAAGATTTTTAATAATTGTTTTTTAGATTGATTTCCTATTTTCCGTGCAGCCTCAGGTCTGTAAGCTTTAAATCAACTCACAGACATGAGACATTTGATAAAATGCTGCAGGTGAGTCATGACACAGTAGTTTGTGGACTACATCTTTTTGGTAAAAGCTCCAGTGTGGATGATTCAGGGGGATAATTGGCAGAAATGGAATATAATAAAATAAGTTTATATCTACATAGGGAGCAGGTCCTTGTCTGTGGAGTGGAGTCTGTCATGTTTCTATGTAGCCCAGAACAGGCAAATCGAACACTGGCTCCAGGTAGGGCATTCGCATTTTTTGCATTTTTGTTTTGCGTTGGCCGCCATTCGCAGCCCCTGTGCAACAAGTGCATCGCAAAAACTGCTATTCAGATTTGTTTTTATTAACAAATGCTCAAATTACAGTTCGTGTGCAGTTCCAAAAATGTGTCAGGTTTCCATTTGTGCATTTGAAAATCTTTGAAAAAGAAAAATTAAAATTACAAAGACACTTATCCAAAAAAAAAAAAAGAAAAAGAAAAGAAGCAAAACAAAAAAATGCACAGAAGTTCGTTGAAAGGACTAGATGTTGCAATCCCTCTTGTAGCACCACTTCTAATTCATGGGAAGTTCTTGAAAGATGGCTGCTATGAGGCTTTACCGCCGGGACACATCGTCAGTTGTGTACCTCAGCATCGACAGGTGTTTCGGCCATTTAACACAAGACACCCTCCACTGAGGCAGGCCCACCACAGGTTGATCATGCCTGCGTGTGTGTCCCGGGGTTAGCTGTTTGCCTTAGCAGCCCAGATGGTGTCGTTTCTCTTCCACCACAGCCAATGACTCGTCCTCTCAGCAGTGTTGGCCAGCTCTTTAATGGCCTGTCTGTGAGCCTGTCCCCTGACTCCAACTTCCCTAAGGAGCTTTGCTGTTGTATTGGCTACAAAGCCCCTGCACCCCACCTCCACCGGGCGCACCTTTACTTTCCAGCCTCTGTCCTCTGCCTCAGTTGCTAAGATGGAGTACCTCAGCTTCTTGCGCTCATACGCATATTAACTATAAGGATAGCATTTCTTAATCGAGAGGAGGTACTAAAACTAAAGCTATTGTTAATAGGTTAATAAACTCACGAATGGATCAAAAATGATCAAAGTTAAGGTTGGTCCAGGAAGAGTCGTATTTCTGTCGTCAGTTAAATCCAAAGAAGGCAGAATGTTAATAAAGAGGCTCTAAATTTTTAGTTTGAATTTTTGCTGAGTTTATAGCTCAGCAGCTAACTACTGTAGAATGAGTTATCATATTAGGGTTGTTTCACAGTCCTTTAATAAGTTTTTAAAGGAGCATTATGAAGGATTCACTGGCATCTAGTGGTGAGGATTGCATATTGCAAACAGCTGAAACTTCTCCCATGTGCCAGGTGTGAAGTCGCAGATAGGACTCCTGGAGGTTTTCACTGGGAGCCAAATTATCCTCAGAGGTCTCTTCCTCTCCAAAACAAACTAAAACAGTTTAAGTTTGCAAATCAGTGTTCTCCAGATGCCGCCTAGCTCATCGCAGACGGACCACTAGCCAAACACCTGCTAATGTTTGCTCACTTTTTTCTCCGATAACTGAAGAGCTAGGTGTTTAGGAGGATTTTACCAGGAGCCAAACTGTCCACAGAGGCCTCGTCCTCTCCAAAAAAAAACAGACTTGGTGATTTAAACTGGTAAAAACACTGCATGAAGCAGTTTCATGTTAAAAAATGGTGTTTTACTGCCGCTCTCTTCACGGAGGAGCTGCTAACGGTGGGCGAAGCAAAACAAAAATGCAACAACGCAAATGGCTCTACCTAGAGCTGATTTTAAAACACTTAATAAAGCAGTTTCATGTTACAAATCAGTGTTTTTCATTGCTGTTTGGCTCATCGTGGAGGGGCTGCTAACTATGGTGAACAACCTGAAAGCACAAATGGTCCTACCTGGAGCCAGTGTTTGGTTTGTCTGTTTCCACTGTAGAAACACGATGGTGCGACATTGCTGACTCTTTGGATGAGGACCCGCTCCCTGCGAAACTATTCTTATTTTCAATAAGAATAAAGATAAAGACCAATGTCACAAATATCACAATTTGCCTAAACTCCCCCCCAAAAAGGCCTTTTAAGCCTTGTGATTACGCACAAAGAAAACATACTTATTACATTTAATTTCTGCCAATATATCCTTCTAAATCCAGCTGATTGTTCGGCTCAGTTTGAAGATTTGTCAAAGATTATATTGTCTAAAAACATATTGTATGCTTTGAAAAATGAAGTTGTTACAGGTTAAAGGCTAAAAAAAAAAATGCAAAATCTTCCGTATGACTTTTTAACTGTCTTCCTTCACATATCAGTGTGAGGCAGTAGGTGATGCAGGTGATCGGACGGCACATACTGAGACAGAGGACAAACAGAAAGCTCAGGATGAAGAAGAAGAAATGATGAAGGAGGAGATCAATGCTATGTTTTACCCCAGCTGGTACAAACCCAGCAGCTGGCGCAGGATGAGCCCCGACCCTGCAGACATCCTGACAAAGGTGTGTGATGCAGAGCAGACGACGTGTTCACAACCAGCTGGAGAGTCACTCTCAGAGGCCGCGGTCCAGACTGAGACTGGAGGCGCAGTCCAAGTGGTGTCTGAGGCCCAGGTACAACCAGAACCTACGGGGAGTCTGGAGCCAAACCCCAGCGAACCTCCACCTGGTCCTCAAGAGCTTCACACTCAGACAGAAACCCAACCTCTGTCTGATGTTCCCATTGAGCTGGGCAGTGCTTCTACACCTGCTCCTCAAACCCAGGCAGTGGGAGAGGTTGGAGTCACAGAGCAGGAAAACGATGAGGAGGAAATGCAGGACTGGGTGTGTCTGCCCGGAGCTGTGGATAAAAGCTTCAGCCTGGTGGAGGGTAGCTTCGATCTTGGAGACAGTTTGTCTGATAACAATGATAGTCCGTCATCTGTAGCACCAGAGGAGGCTGAGGGTGAGAGTTTGGAGGTGAACAAAGAGAAGTTTGAGTCCAGTGATGAAAGGGTGGAGGACGCAGAGGAGAAGGAGGTTAACTTAGATCTAAAGTGTGCTTCAGAGCTGAAGGACAGAGAGGGTGAGTTAGAGGCTGAGGCAATGAAAGGAGGGCTGGAAGAAGGAAGCATGAAGTCTGACAGGAAAGAAAAAGATGCATCTGTGAGGGAGGATGGCTCTGAACCAAAAAGTGACAGCTTGGGTGTGGGGAGCATTGAAAGTTTGACAGAAGGAGAAGGAGACGCAGAGTTTGAGGCTGGTAGTTCAGAGTTTGCAGGAAAGAAAGAGAAGAATGGAGAGAACAGCGAGCAGCCTGAAGACTTAATGGAAATGAGATTTGCTGAAGCTGAAGAGAACATAAGCTCCTCTGTGTCTCTCCAGGTCAGTGTCGTCCGGTCTCACCTTCATCATCATCATCAACCAGGCTATTGCGCTCTTCACCCACCTGCTGATGCGGCCTCCATGTTGTCTTCTTCTTCTCCTCTGTTATTTTGGGTTGTTTTGCTGTTTATGTTTTCGCAGAGTCACTTTTGCAACTCTGCTGCTTCACTTCACTTTGGTGTCTGTGTTTTTACCATTTTGGGAAATTAAGGGAGGATCAAAGGAAGGGAGGAAGGACAGACAGAGGGGGGAAACTATTTCAAAAGATATTTCATCCCCAAATTTAAAAGTAATTTCAGTGAAAAGCAAACCATTTTTTGACCATCAGTTTAACTCCCACAGGTAATAGTACTCTCTCTCAGATTCTGAAGCGAGTCTTGTTGATTTAATTTACAAAATGGCACAAAATAAAACACTTCTTTTAGCATTCAGCAACAGTGATGGAAGAAGTACTAAAATTGTTTACTAAAGTAAAAGTACCAGTACGATCCATTAAAGGGGAATTAATGTTTTTTTTTCAACCTGGGCCCTATTTTACAATCTACTTTTGTCTAAATCAGTGATAGGATGTTCAATATGTGACATTTCTCCAGTATGAAGCTAGGGCTGACCTGCCTGCAGCCCTTGAGCGCGTGCTATATTAAATAATAGGGCACTCAGACAGCGTCAAACAACGTCAAAATACTTCGACTAAAAGTGCATTTTTTTCACACAGATAGGCTCGGATTGTTAGTATAATTATCCAACGACGTAACGGAAAGGAGAAATGAACGTCTGTGTTTACCTTTAGCTGGATTCAGACATGTTCCTCTGCCTGTTGCTGCTCCCTCTCTCTCCTCGTCCGCTCTTCAATTTCAATGAGCTCTGCGTCCGTGTGCGTCCGTGTACTCCGTGCTCAAATAAATACAGGCGGTCATCAAATTCAAATGGCTCATCCAGATCCAGTTGGTCAAAATTGGGTAAAAATTCGGACATGTTTGTTGTGGCAAGTCAGAACACTCACTCAGAGTGAAAGTCTGGCTCTGAAATATCACCTCTTGCGAGACTTGAGTTGTCGCAGGAAGTTACCACTGGAGTTACTCTGTTTGGAGTAGTCATGGCTGAATTTTTACCCGATTTTGACCATCTGGATCTGGATGAGCCATTTGAATTTGATGACCACCCGTATTTATTTGAACACTGAGTACGCGGATGTACACGGACGCAGAGCTCATTGAAATTGAAGAGCGGATGAGGAGAGAGAGGGAGCAGCAACAGGCAGAGGAACATGTCTGAATCCAGCTAAAGGTAAACACAGACATTCATTTCTCCTTTCCGTTATGTCGTTGGATAATTATACTAACAATCTGAGCCTATTTGTGTGAAAAAAAAAATGCACTTTTAGTGGACGTATTTTGATGTTGTTTGACGCTATTATTTAATATAGCGCGCGCTCACGGGCTGCAGACAGGTCAGCCCTAGCTTTGTACTGGAGAAATGTCAAATATTGAACATCCTATCACTCATTTAGACAAAAGTAGATTGTAAAATAGGGCCCAGGTTGAAAAAAACATTAGTTCCCCTTTAAAGTAAAGGTTCTGCATTGAAAATGTTTAAAATGTCTCCTAGAATTACAGCTTTATTCTCATAGATTTACGACTTTTTTTTTTTTTTTTTGCAAAGATTTGTTTTATTAAGAGATTCTCAAATGACAGGAGCAGTTACAAAAGTTTCAGGTTTCCATTCATGCATTTGAAAATATTATTTTAAAAAGAAAAAGTAAAAGTAAAGGGACAAAGATACTCATTCAAAAACATAAAAAAGAGGCAAAAACAAAACAAACATACAGGAAAAGCACACAGACACATACAAAGGAATTTTAAAAAAAAAATAATTCCTTGAATATATACAGAGAGGATGTGCTAAAACTAAACCTTAGGACAGTTTGACATACAAACATATGTTAGTAAATTTGTGAATGGATCAGAAATGTTCTAAGTTGAAACTAAGTTTATTTTCATTATGGATTAATCTGATGATTATTTTATTGCATTAATTAACTGATTGTGTGGTTTGTAAATATTCAGAAAATAGTAATAAATGCTGTCACAATTACCCAGAGCCCAATCTGACACCTTCAGAAATTTGATCTTGTCCAACCAAAAGTCCATACCTCAAAATGATTAAAAATAAATGAACATTATTAAAATAATTTGAAGAAAAAGCAGCAAATTGTCACATTCATTGCCAGTTCATTTCAGTCAACGTTTCAGCTCTACTTGAACATTTTTGTGTGTTTTCTGTGCAAAAGTCTTAATTTGTGAGTAACTAAAACTGTTTAATAAATGCAGTGGACAGACAAATGACAGGAAACAGGAGAGTAGTCTTTCTTGTTGTATTCAAAAAAATGCAGTGGATGCATCAACCAATCAACAAGAAATGATCTGCCTTCTAGAAAGTACAATAATTCACTCTGAGATGAAGAAGAGCAGAAGTAGAACGTGGCATGAGAAAAAAATACTTAAAAGTACAAGTACCCAAAATATGTAGTTAAGTACAGCACTTGGGTAAATCTACTTAGTTACATTCTCCCCTGGGTCCAGTCATCAGTCCTCATTCCTTCCTCCCTCCCTCTGTACATTACAGTCTTTCTGTTGCAGCATCATCTCTCCATCTTTCTCCTCCTTCTGTTCTTCACCCCAAATCTCATCACTCTGACCGCCTTCCTCGTCCCTCCTGTACGTTTCTCCTCATTCACCACCTCCTTCATCCACCTCTCTCTTTGTCTCTCTCTGTTGTCCATCCCTCCATCTCTCTCCAGGCTGTCACTCTGCTCTTCTACCTGTTGGCCTTCCTGGTCATCCTGCAGAGGGTGTGGGCTTACATCGGCTGCTTCATTTGCACATAATACCAACAGGAGACACCTCCACCCTCACTGCTGCACAGCTCAGGTACACACACACCTGCTGCCTCCACCTGGAAGTGCTGCTCAGGGCTTTTATTTTGGAAAACAAGAGAATCAACTGTAGAGCTGCAGATTTAAGTGATTATAAATGCTTGCATGGAAGTGATGCAGATTAACCTGTCTGATAATGAGACAGGTACAAGTCTTCTTCTTTTTTTCTTTGTACTAATTGAGTCCCTCACAAAAATCCCACACAAAGTTAACCCCTTACTCCCTAACCACCTGTCCTCTTACCACTGTGCTCTTATACAAGTGTATCACTGATGCTCTGAATGCACCAACTAGTTACACCTGAAATGATAGTGAGAGTTTTCTATTAACACAAAACAACAAAGTCAAACCCTTGTTTGTGGCCTCTTCAGCATCCACTTTGCCTCTGCTGGCATCTTGTGGTGAAACTGTGTAATTACAGTCATCAGTCATTTAAAAACATTTTATCTTAATTTTAAGTCAAGTAAAACTAATAAACTAAAAAATAATAATGACAGATTGACCGTCTGATTTTTATCTGTTAACAACTTTATTTGTTTTCTTTATGACATAGTTGTATTCTTGCAGTTTTTGTGCTCCAGCATCACTAACATCACTCATTATTCCCTCTGCTGCACCATGAAGTGTGTTTGCATGTTCATGGAAACCAGTGACTTTACAGATTAAGATTTAATGTTCAAAACAGATAAAGGACAGTTGAAAATATGATGCATTGTGAGTTATTAAAGGTGCCATCACTGGATTACATTTGAGCTTAAAGGACTGATTCATCAGTTATAAAAATATTTAACATTGACTGTTTTGATAAGTGATTAATTGTTTAAGGAATACTTCGCCCCCTGAATGACCATTTGTATATCAATTACTAACCCCGTATTACGCTGAATTCATGAAGTAAAATGTGTTTTTCTCACGTCTCCATGGTGAACAAAGAATCCCAAAAACATAGAAAATTCTTGATGAACTGAAGTAAAAGGAGTCCATGTTTAAAAACAGCAAAACTATGGACCCTTTTACTGTTAGTAAATAGAATGATGTTTCTTGGTGGGCGGGGCTTAGCTGGAGGCAAAACAATTCTCCACAGACATTAGCCAGCTCTAGCTAGCAAGTTCTGTTGGCTTATTTTAGACGATGGAGGAAGATGATGTGAGTTGTGCATTCGGAAACACTCATTCTGAGTGCTGGAGCGCACTCTGGCACAAACTGGAGCGTTGATAAATTGGGAGCGCTGTCTGAATGTAGCGTTGGGTTATCCAGTGCAGCGCACTCTCAGAGTGGCAGAGCGCACTCTGGACACTCTGTCTGTGGAGATGGAGCAGCAGAGTGCCGAGCGGAGTGAATGTGTGATTAACTTAACTGTTGGTTCATTCATGTAGAAATATAACCAGAGATATTGGATGAAGGGAGATACCCAACTGTAGGCTTATCCAATGTTAAGAAAACGGTTACTCTTCCTGTCTCCTAAGTGGGTGTGGTTAGGTCTCCCTCAATCAGAGCCTGTTCTCTGGGAAGATGTGTGGCTTGTGGAAAATGAACCCAATATTTACTTTAGTGACTACAGGGCGAAAGAATTGACCATAAATTGTGATCACGTTCATTTTCCTCATTGACGACAATACATTCAGAGCTGCCGCAAGTCTCCTACGGGGGCGTGGCGCTGACGTCACTGAATCAGGATGTGAGCTGAGTTGGGTATCTCGCTTCATCCAATATCTCTGATATAACACTGCGTTTCTTCCACCAACAGGGCTCTCATTTTAGTGTAGAGCGTCAGACTGAATTTACCAACGCACCATGTCAGGTCACTCACTCTCCGGGACCGCCAGTGTTACTTGAATAAGTAAACACTGACCAACGGGACCAGTCTGGCCGACCCGTATGCTCTCACTCAGTGGATGGATGATGTCACAGGAAGCCAATCTTACAAAGGAGGACCACACTTGTTTGTTTTGCTATGGAAGCTAACGTTAGCTAATGTGCTAAAAAGTTAGCGTTGCAGAGAAATCCAATATTCCTCTTAATCCCTCCCCAGTTTCTGATGAGGTGGACATGATAACCCGTAATACACATAACGTTACTCATCCCTACAACAGGAAATACTTTTTCCCTAACCTGATATGAAGTGTGCGCTGCACATGTGAGCATTTTTGATGATGGTCTCCGTCCAGTCCTTTGGTCTTATCACATTTAACCGTAGTTGTCTTTGTTTTTGTTGACGGGCAGTGGCGGCTGGTTTTGAGCCATGACTCCTTCTATTCTGGCTCCCAATAACACATTTTAAGACTCCTGTTTTGCCTCCAGCTACCAAACTGATGTCATTGTGACGTTGCCCTTTGAGGGTCTAAGTTGAAACATGGGTTTACATCTCACACAACTCATGCAGTATAATCCAACTCTCATTTATCCAGTCGTATGCTTAGTACTTCAGAAATGGACAGCCTTTTCCGACAGGGAACAGAACTGAAAGCTAAACTTATCTCTGCTTTCTTTAAAGTCAGACTTCATAAACAAAAGCAGTAATTTTACCTCACTGAACACAGGAGCTGCTGCTCTACCGCTGCCTCCATCAGTAGTAAGTTTATGTTATTGTGTGACTTTGGTGTTTTAAAGGGTTAGGCTGGATTTACCAAAGCCACACGATAACACCAACGAAGCAAGTTTCTGTTTTTGTCGTGTCTTCTGTTGATATTCATATAAAACCAGCTGCTGTCCTCTTCTGCTACAGACGGAGACTGAGACGAGTCCTGCTCAGACCAGTCCTCCCCTCTCCTCCTCCATCCCTTCCTCCACTTTCACCCTCAGCGAGGCTCCTCGTCGGCCCAGTTTCAGCTTCTCTTGGCTGAACCCCCTCCACAAGAAGAAGTAGAGGAAGGAGAGAAGTGTTTGGAGGTGTTGTCTTGTTGAGGAGATAAAGAGAGAAAGATGCACTCCAGAGTCAGTTTAATCAGCTCAGTGCTGCCCTGAGACTGGAAACACTTGATCTTTGATAAAACTTCAGTTGCAGTCATTTTATCAACGGTCTGTTTTGTTCCTAATATTAATTCAGTTTGAAATTTTTTAAAAAAAGCACTTGTGTGATCTGCTCTGGATCTGTGTGTGTCTGAAGGGAAAAACTTTGACCTGTTGGGCTCTTATTTTGAAAACTTGAGAATGACTTAAGAAGTTTATTTCATTTTATTTTATGGAAGCTGTTGCCTTTCACAACAAAGGTCTTCACAGCTTTCAAGTTTGTGCTTTTAATAAGTAGCAGAGGAGAAGTCATACTGTAGTGTGGAGGTAGTAGTGTATGTAAAAGTAGCAGAAGTCATTATTGCAGTAGTTGTAGTAGAGGTGAAAGAAGTAGTCAGTGGAATGTAACGAAGTACATTTACTCAAGTACTGTACTTAGGAACAATTTTGACATACCATAATACTTAAATTAATAGCTCACACTATTATTTGCCTAAATCACTGCAGTGAACAGGCCTATATTTAGGACAGGCCTTTAATTCCTTTACATAAAACTGTTGCTCAGCAAAGATGGGAAATATGATCGAACTTATTTTGACACTTGTTTCATGGCAGCTTTATTACAGCTTCAGAGGTAGAGTCAGCCCTTATTTTTTCATCATGCCTGTAAATCTGAATGACTTATGGTCTTGTCTGGCGCTCCTGGTTTTGATCAAATGAAATGACTGAGCTAACAATGTGTAGCATATCCATACTGATAAAAGTTTAAACATTCATTTTTGTATGTGCGATCTTAACAGCTAACTAATGTTAGCTCAAGTGAGCAGTCAACAATCCGGGTATATATTTATATCCAGAGAACTTCTACAAGAATGACTGCTTAGCAACCAGACCAGGCCTCTAATTGAGACAGGCCTTTATTTGTCAAACTGTGTAGCTACACAAGGCTAGTAAAAGGGACTGGATGTTTACTGAAATTTTATGGTACTTCTACTTGAATGGTTTTTATTTCGTACATACTTATACTTCAGTACAATTCAGAGGCAAATACTGTACTTTTTACTGCATTATCTGACAGCTTACTATTTACATATAAAACATATGCTTATATGATACGATGCAGTACTTTCAGTACTTTAATCTACCCTGTAAAAGACAAAGTATCTAACATTGGCTCCACACTGATGAACTACAGCATTAAAATACTCTTATGTGTAGTTGTCAGTGATAAAACAGATAATTACAATAAGCTCTGCAGCATGAATACTTTTACTTTTGATATTTTAAGTACAATTTGATGACAGGTACTTTTATTTCGTAACATTTTGAATTTGGGACTTTTACTTGTAATGGAGTATTTTTAGACTGTGGTTTTTACTGTTTTAGAATCTAAGTACTTCATCCACCACTGCTACTAGTAGTAGTTGTAGTGATAAGGAAAAATGCCCTTTAATAAATGAAGTAGCACTAGTATTTGTTTAGTTAGTTGCAGTGTTAGTAAAAGTACAGGTTTTTGTAGTTTTCACAAAACTTGTAGTCGAAGTAGCAGCGACTGCAGAAGTAGTATTAATTGTAATGATGGTACTGTGTTGACTGTATGCCTGTAACTGTTGGTACAGATGCAGGATATGAACAAAAATTATGTTGCTGTAATTATCACAGTATTTTTAGTGTTTCATTGAAACTAAATCATTCAGACATTTTTGCTCTTAAACGTTTAACATCTTGTGCTGTGGTCAAATTTCACTTAAAAGTTATACATAACTCATGTAGGCATAAAAACTAGGGATGTGCAATATTGGATTTTTTTGCCGATATCCAATATGCTGATATATAACAACTTATTTGGCCGATAACTGATACAGATATCAATTTATTATCCAGGTTTTCCCCACCTAATTTCAGTGATCATCAAGTCTCCTCTGCAGTGGAATGAACATCATATTATTCATGCATACTCTTATCATGACGGCCCACCAGCAGATGGAGACTTGAAATACAATACTTTTCAATGTATGTAAATTTCATCACTGTACAAAATAAGAAAAAGCATGTTGGTTGATTCTGATAGTTCATTGTAAAGCCAATATTGATCGATAACGATGATGTACTGATATTATCGTGTATCCCTAATAAAAACTAAATCAATATAAATTTGAAGTTGATCAAAAATAGTCCCTAATGTAACAGAGGAATCAGCAGGATGAAGCAGAGAAGCAGTATTTACAGTAGAAGAAGTACATGTGTTTTGTTAATACAAGTTTTAAAAGTCTTCTAGAAGACCCAGACACCGAGTTTGAGACATTTTGAACGGTGATTTTGGATGGCACATGTGGTTCAGAGTGCTTTGGTTTGGTATGGATAATGATAATGTTCAGTTTCTTTCTTTTTCTTTATTTTTTTTTGTTCTAGGCAATCTTTCTTTTGCAGCTTTCATGTGTATTTGTGAGTGAGTGTCTGGACTCTTTTTGATTGTTTGGTGTTGTGTAGGCTGGTGTCTGTTTATAATGCAGTGGATCAGATAAGATAATGGTTTTGTTTGATACATGTATTGATTAAATAAATCTGATTTTACTCACTATGAGGTGTGTGTGTGTGTGTGTGTGTGTGTGTGGCTACAACGACCGGAGATTTCACAAGATGATAGCAGTATTAT